AGTAGAGATAAAAGATATGTCTACATGTATGAGTAATGAGTATACGTACAGGGTCAAATACATTAGACTGATGTGTCAAAATTCTATCTGTTCTTTGTGAATTATTGGTTCTCTGATCGGGAGAGAAGGTGTCATTCTATTAGTAATAGGTTGATCCATAAATGAATTGGAGCTTCATGAAAATCGGGATGATGTAGGGAATTATTTAACTGATGAGAGGTTATTTGGTTGTTTCGGTCTATTTGACTTTCACTACCTCTTTTTTCTAGAGGACGTTGTTCAATTCCCTTACTTACAATATCATAGTCCATTCTAATTAAACATACTTTTCGTTCTCTTTTAGGGCCAGTCAGTGGCTGTTCAAATTGATCTTCAATAGTTGTATCATTTTCATATTTATCTTTAATACTTTTTCCATTATTTCGTTTTGTTTCAAACATATTCACAAGACTTTGTGAATTTTGTTTTAATAGTTCATCAATTGCTTTCTTACAGTCTGTGTGTTCCTGACATATTCTCTGAGTTAAAGTAACACAAGACATTGAATCATATTCAAGAGATGGACACATATTCTTAAAAAATGAAGTAATTTTATTGCATTTATTGGTTGGGAGTTCATCAACACATATTTGATTAACAACATTGAACCATTCTGGTCTTTTGTTAATTTCTTCAGTTGATTCAATAACTGCATATTTTGGAACAGAAAGAGGAAGAAAAAGTACTTTTCTCTCAAATGAATTCTTCCCTCCATCATTAAGAGACTGGAGATATTCTTTTACTTTTGAGTGGTCTCCAATCTTTGGATATTTAATCATTATTTTTATACTTTTCATTTTTAAGACATTAAATGGGAATAAAATACAATATTCGAATTCAGCCCATTTCATTTCATCTCTACATTTAAACACATAATCTAAGTAGGATTTAATATTTTCATAATGAGTATCATCTTTGCATTGTTGTATGATATAATCAATGTATTCTAAAATATCGGCAGTTACAGCTGGATCTGACATTCAACGAGAACCTTTATTTATTTTTGTTTCTTTATTTTAGGTAAATATCC